CGTTGATTGCAAATCACTCAAGACGTCAAGTGATTTTAGCATGTTACTATTGTTGAAAAATAAATATGGAATGCATACCACACAGAACAATAAGCAAAACATCAAAACACCGATTCCACAACGCAATTCTTTCGCAATCATTCTTATTTTCCCATTGTCCCTACCATTATCTCTAGGAAGCATTGTGGTGAGTTCTCATCTACAGTACCCGTACAGTATGTTACACAGTGTAACATACGAGACACTAGAGTTGAGTGGTATTGTCACGTGATTTTATATGAAGACGTATATTGGCTGTGAGTGTTAAGTTACAGAAAGTACCTACTTCCTGCTATTGTAAATGCGATTATATGAGTGGCCAAAACAACCCAGAACATTCTCTATAATAAAACACATGATGCCATCTAAATCAAAGTGTACAGTACATAAACGTGTATTATAAGAATGGGTAAACCAATTATTATTGTGATTTTTTTATTTGGTGTTATTTCCATCTACTAAAAAGTGTATAAATATTTCACGAAACCATTAATAATACTTGCTACCACCTTTAGTTTATGTTTATTGTCAATGTCATCTTATAACGAGTCGGCTATTATTAGACTTACCATTATTATTCAAGTATGAATCGCATCACCCATAAAATACTTGTAATATGAAATTACCAGAAACAGGATTAAGCCCTTATCTGTTATCAAGATCGACGTCAAAGAATATGCGAATACCCGGACATCGAAACACGTATAATGCAGAACAAGTAAGTTTTCAAACAAGCATTGATTTCAAATGTACAGCAACGGATCTACATAGTAGAATTCAATGCAGTATTACATCGATTTCCTGTTATTCGCAAGTACATATGTATATTTCTTATGAGTGGATGGACTTCACAAGGTCATGTTAAATCAAAAGATAATCAGAAGAGTAAACCTTAGTTATGTAAGATTCCAGGGACAACTGTTGCGTTGCTACAATTGCTACCTTCACATGGCGAAATTTTTAATCCTTTGTATTTGTAGAAGGATTACAGCAGTTGCGTTCACGTTAATCGGGAACCACTCGTGACCGATTCCGCTCGTGCCGAAATCACGCCCTCATTCTTCGATTTGTTATTTGATCCAAGGTAGCATTGCTAGAAAAAAAAAACGCTTGCAGCAGCACTTAAACATGCGTCATTCATTACTACAGCATCCGATCATATCTAGCTGCACTTCCCTTCAGTGTCATACTAATATGAATCAGTATATGTGCATTTAAATTCACCACCGAGGGCGTGATTTTGGTTCGTGCAGATCGTTCAGGCAGCAAATCTATTGGAACCGAGATCGATTTTTTTCGGCACAGGTTTCGGCATGTGCCGACTCGGCCCGAGTCTCGGTACGTGTGGAGAACTCTGACGTAAATTCCACCATACTGCCAAAACAACTTGCTTAGGTGATCTCAAACAAATTACATCAGATGTACGAAGGTGATCTGTCATATTAATAGTGAAGCCATACTTATCTTTCACCAATCAATACGAGTATCGATTGAAACTTTGAAACAAGGTTTGCCCTTGACCCCAGATTTGGTTTTGAAGATGATGTTGGAATCTTGGCTGAAAATCCATCTTAGATGCCAATTACTGTATAACTTCCGAGCGAACAGTTGCTCATAGTTTTGTGTCACAATTGATGAATCATCCAGCAGGAATATGGGCTTTGCTATCAGAAGTTAGAGAAGTAGTGGAATCCATGATCTTACTGAAAAATTCGGATTGCCGCTGTCAATGATGTCGGCTATAGCTGTTACATAAATACTGCATCAAGGTTTTCCCACAATTTCGACATTGAGATCTAAGTGATATATAACATATCAGCAAATTTTGCAGTTTCTGCTGAAGCGAGCAGAATTACCAAAAGCTGCCCCACAAGGATGGAAAGACTTTTGGGAGACTTGACAGTCATTATTAGGGTACAACTACTTCTGCATTGTTTCTGATCCTTGCCTTCCAACTTAATTCCCTTCTTGCTGAACCAGAGAAACATCTGTCCTTTTTGGGTTCATGACAAATGTCATTAATATCGAATGGCACAGCGGACTAGAACTCCATTTATTCTGAACCACTTCCAGAAAGTGTATTCGGCCTTTTTGAATGCTATCAATTCAAGTTTATATGAAGTCTTGTTTTCTTAGGTTGCCACTCACCTGACTTTCAAGCTTACACGTTAGGCTGTTGACTACGAAGGTTATATGGAATGTATGACTAAAACGATGATCTTTCCACTGTGTCCATAGTACTGCCAAATCAGGCATACCGGAGGGCTGCTCAAAAAAGAATTTCTCGCATAGAATCCTTTACTGTTGATTACCCATAGTGCATTGTGCTCCTGCAGGGGCTGGGAAAAACTTTTGTTGATTTACTATTAAACTAAGTAAGTTCAAGACTATAATCTAACTTGTTTTGCGGGAATGTGCTTGTACCGTTTTCCATTGGCTTTGTAATGGCTAATCCTCTAGATAGGATATACTTCAGTGCTATGGTACTCTCAGTAATAGTGATGTGATATTGGGCAAATGTTGCAATGGAACTTTATTTTCTGATTCATGAAGCACTAGTATTGACGACTACAATGACGACTATGAATGCAACGTGCATTATTCACATTTATTTCACTAATATCACCTTTTCAAACAAGAACGTATAACAAGTACAAGGATAATTAAGTACAAATAAACGAATTACAAAACTTTCCTACAAAAATCGCTTATATCATATTAAAAACGATGCGACCTTTAGCACCATGCCCGCTTGCCATAAACCGATGAGCCTCGCTGGCCTCTTTCAGTGGAAACTCTTTCCATATCAATGGTCTTAACCAACCTTTCTGAATTCCGTCATTGATGGCTGCACCTATATCTCTCCGTTCCGCCTATGCAGACAATGAAAGCGACATGTAAGAAATAATATACTCTAACTACCCCATGTTTCCATGCTTTGGTAACCTTCTCGTATTAACTTGTAGATCACGTAGATATATACGCAATGAGAGGCTGTAATTATCAAATTGTAATGCGTGTATTATGTAATTGTTATACACTATATACCCTGGACGCAAATGACCCCCAATATCTCGTCGTGAACGAAACACCGCGAGACTTTGCCGCAAACATAGTGTTCTATTGTATCCCATTGTCGCCAACCAAAGGCGACAGTATTATGCTCAATAAAAATTGAGTCGAAAATATGAAGTACTGCTAGAAATGATTGACAGTAACTCACAAAGACTCATTGGCGTTATCAAATGGTTCAATGGCTAATGATAGAGTTACTTTGGGTTTGAAAAAATGCGATGGTCTACACGTTTTAGAAATATTTAATACATCCATTTAAAATCCGTCCATGTGAATGTAGCTGAGGGATTGTGAATGGGTGTATACAATACAACACAAAATGATTAAATATTAATATATTAAAATGAAATATTTGTAAATATGGTTATTTTTGCGATGTACATAATGACTATATGTACCACATGTTAAAAGCGAGACGAAGTGTTTGAATCGGGCTTGGGCGCCAATCATGAAAATAAACAGTATTGTAATAAAACAAATCATGTCTATAATGTGATTATTTGATGTACCTTACCTCACAGGTTAGAACTGACCCTGTAGATCACCCATTTCAGATTATACCGCCAATTAAGATTGTATTATGAATCTAAGATTCTGAGCAAAAAATACCCAATTCAATGTGTTTTTATACGGGGTATATCGGTAACTATTTAGTACATGATTTGCACCTCAACTCCCAGGAATAAAGGAATACAATATTTCTATCGAATATACCAAACATAACTCCCTTCGTATATAAAAGTAGCTGCAGTACCTTGCTTTGTTTGATATACATCTCATACAATTGTAGAATATAGCACTCACTAATCATATTTCATTTTTTCAACCTAGAAAAAATCGTGATATGAAGAAATAAATTTTAAAAATGCAAATTTGGACCATTTTCATGACATTTTGGAATCTTGTTTCTCGTGACCCCATTTTTTAAAGGGCGGTAGTCGTCGCGTCACGCATCCGAGATATATGGGTATCATATAAACAAAGATGACTGAGACGTTTTTTCAAATATAATAGTTTGAACGGTTAATTCTGCATATTGTTGAAGAAAACTTTCATGGGAAATGTTTTATTAAGATTAAAGTCAAACATGTACAAACTGTAGCTGGTGGTGCTCGATTAATATTTAAGGCCGTGTATATAAAATCGCGCACAATGACCACCACCCTTTTGCTAGAAAAAGCACATTATCTTTCTTTTATCATTATATCACTATATTGCAAAGTGCAAATTGGGGGCTGAAGACCAGAACAAGACATGACTTGTCTCTGTACATGTTTGGGTCTGTCACTGTAATTTCTAATCATACTCATCGTAATACGATTCATGTCAATATATCAATCATTGATCTTTACATCCTCTTGCCGGGATTGAGTGATGACACCAACTCGATAATTATAAATCATAAGTAGTTATAAGTTGTCTCAAATTATTAGGGTGTTCTGGCGAATCAGATTTATTTTTAATGAAATAACAATTTAACATAAACTCCTTTAGAAATAGTTCAAAAAAATGTTGTATTTGATACTGGGAAAAACAACCAAGGTTAATGACGTGTGACTCAACCCACAATTACGTAACACCTTTGACAGAAAAGTACATCAGTTTTTCTTCGCTTTTATTCAATAGGTTGAACGCTCGCAAGTGACATGCATTGTTCGGTCGGTTGAACGATCAGTAACTATGTTAGAGAGAGATATTGCAGATGTTTAAGAACATAATCTGAAAAGAGTATATTTTGTTGAAAAATCAACTGCATATAAAAAACAAAACATTTACTAAACTAAATAACAGGAGCAAGTACCCGCCCGATGCGTATTTTTGCCAGACATAACGATTACTCGCAATTCTTGTATAGAAGTTACTGGTCCCACTCCAATACAACGGTGTTTATCCGACGTGTTATTCTTAGCTGCTGTGTGATAAACAAGTATAGATTTTTCCTACGGCAAGAGATGCCAAATTATTCCATTCTGCACACAATATATTGCACAAAGCTGGTATTATAACACACCTTGGGAACACACTCTCAAATAGAACTGTGACCAACTTCCTTTATCATGGCACATCGATAGCCTCTGAAATAATGGCAACAACTAAATCAGTATATTGTTTCTAACACCACAAATGATTGAAAAGAAGGTGTAATGAATGCCAGTTTAGACATGCGATATGGGAGCCCTATTGCATACTAAACGCACACACAATTGAATTCGTTTTAATAATAGTCACAAGACGAACCAGTTACCGTAGAACGCATATATGTCAGAAATTCAACTGAAGTAAATAAATACTTTCTGTAGTTTATTACTTCCGTAATAAAATACATTCTTTTTATGCCAGGGATTTCCCCCACTCACTTTCTTCACACCTGTCTATATAAATTCATTTGGTAATAACACGCTACCTTCATTGTACGCCCATGTCTCGTACGTTACACATTGTCTGGACACTGCTGCCAACTCGCCACAATGTTCCCCGAAGACAAGCGTAGTGACAAAACGAAAGGAAGGGTAATTGGAATTGTACTCGGTGTTTCGATGATTTGCTTATTATTTTGTATGGTATTCATCCCATATTTGGTTTTCAAGAATAGTGACATACACAGATCAATGAGTGCATTGCAGTCAACTAATAAACAACTGGAAAACAGACTTGATGAAATACAGAGGACACTAGACAGTTTGAAACTAGAACTGTCAACTTTGCAGGTAATACTGTTAAATCGTAGCCATCTAAAATATACAAAAGTAGTTTCCACCTAAGAACATAGTACCACCTATTTTTAACCTTTTGGCTTGAAGCATTGCGAGTACTACTTATTTGGAGCTACCAAGAAAAATGTACAAGACTTTTGTTAATGGTTTTTTTATCTGATATTTAAATGACTGTAAAACTGTAAATGAAAATCGATCCTTCACTTGGCGTAAAGAAAAACTGTACCATTTTCTGGGCAGCAAACGGTAGATATTGTTGCCAAGCAACCGTTGCTATGTTGTTGTTTTCTCTGTTCATGGTGATGTGTAGGTTGTCGTTATGGATGTATTTTTTAAGCATTGCGGAAATGTGTACGCTTGTTCTGCCATGAGTTGTGTCACGGATTGGTTTTGGATTTGGGTATGTTTGCAGTAAGATGTGTGTTGCTTGTTTATTTTTCATGTTATTGCCATTATATTTAAAGATATGTAACTGTCTATGCGCAGTGGTTGTATGTATTTTGTTTTTATTAATTGTTTTGAGTTTCATTGATGTCTAATTGTGTCTTTATTATTGCACTAAACCAAATACTATTTATTTGTTTATTTTTATAGAAATCATGTAATATTCTGAAACGTGTCTTTTTAGCTAGCATATTATTTTAGCTAAATTTAGATAAATTATAATTTCGCTAATTCAAGATGGCGCTTATTTAAAAATCGGATATTTCCACATCGCCATTGCTGGCTAAATTAGGTTGCAATGAGTTAATAGTAATGGTACATTCGGAGGATTGCATCATATTTTCATTCAATTTAGGAATATTATCTGCCTGTAAAGGTTATGTATTAGCTTTTTTTATGGTATCACCCCAGGAAGTAACCTGATTTAAAAACTCCAGGCACCTATGATAATGATCTTGGGAGAATGACTTTACTGTTGTTAACAACTAATATAAACCCTTTTAATGTATATGTTACAATAAATGAAAGGTCAGACAAACCAAGTAAAGGTTATGTTGTGGTTGTCAACAACAAGGTCAGTTTAATAGAAATTGTTCTTCAAAACAATCACCCTTGCTTTGAGTAGTTAACATGCAGACTGCAAAGCTCAAGTGGAAATAAAATTCTCAACTGTTGTTTAGGGAAATGTACAAGTCTAAGAATTCAAAACAAACGACTGACAAAAATCCACAATAACAAAATAAAACAATCAAAAAGTACTAGACAATATAGTCAAATCAGTAATAGACTGTAAGGGACATATATATATTGCCGTCATGTCATACATGATGTTAGACGTTTCGAGTGAGCACACACTTCCACTCTCTTGCACTGCCATATAATCAAATGATTTTGTATGGCACATGTGGTCTACATCAGACAAGTGATATTGATTCAAATATTGTCCTAGTGTATTTAACCAAATCTTTTTATATCTGACAGAAAATATTAAACCATTTGTTTAATAGTTTAAACAAAGCAGACAATGTACAGACAATGTATGTTTTAACAAGTCTGCATAATATGTACTTGAGGTCTGGCTCACAAATGGGCCGAGAAATGTATACCCGTAAAAAGGAGAGTGAGTTATTGTTATAAAAGTGTGGAACATTTGTGATAGTGCATATATAATGATCTGTTTTGTCGCACAGTCTAGTAAAAAGTTTACTCTGATTCAAATTCAAAGATCTAACTAATCAAGTAGAATTGACAAACTGTTGTACCAATAAATGTGTTTTTGTTTTATTCCTAGAATACGTGTGAATTTTATAATTTCATGGTGTGTTTTGAATAGGATGACTGTGAACAACATCTGACTGTTAAGACTTATATTTCTATGTCTTCAGTTGCCACAAATTCGAGTTGGTAGCAAAGGGAACAAGTAGAATCAAAGAACGCCTGGAAAGAACTCCCATGTGCTGAGAGTATTAGAGAAACAGTAAAAATTAATTCAAAATTACTTGTATTTGAGATATTGATGGAAAAGCTGCAAACTAATTATGTAAGTCAGAGAAAATTAAAATGAACAGATTTGAGTGTAAAACTAATAAGGTCTGCATAATTTAACAGACCATCTATGTACCAAGTTTCATTGAAATGTGATCAGAACCAAACTATTATGAATTATTATGCTAATTGGGGAATTAATATGAACAGATTTTAACCCCAAACTGATCATATTTGTACATTAACCTAGAGCATCTATGTACAAAGTTTCATTGAAATATGATGATTAGTACTTGAGATATCAGTGTGAAAGTTGAAAATTGGTTGATTATGCAAATTAGGTGATTAATATGCATAAATATATACCAACAACTAATTGGCTCTCTGCACAGTTTAGATTCATTTAAAGGTGATGATTAGTATTTGAGATATCAGTGAAAAAGCTGAAATTAAATAATTATGCAAATTAAGTAATTAATATGTACTGATATTACCCTAAAAACTACCAGGTCTGTGCAATATCCTATGACATCTAGGTACCAAGTTTCATTGAAATGTGATTATTAGTAGTTGAAATATCAGTGGAAAAGCCGAAAATTTACTAATCATTATGCAAATTAGGTAATTAATATGCACAGATTTTCACCCAAAACTAATCAAAACCTGGCATTAGTTCAGAGCATCTATGAACCAAGTTTTATTAAAATTCAATGAGTGGTTCTTTAGATATCAGTGGAACAGTCATGGAACAGCTAATAATTAGCTAAGTATCATGCAAATTAGGTAAATAATATTCACGGATTTTTACCAAAAACTAATAAAATCTGCGCATAAGTTCAGAGCATCTATGTACCAAGTTTCATCAGAATTCAATGAGTGATTCTTTAGATATCAATGGAATAGTCATGAAACAGCTAAAAATTAGCTAAGTATCATGCAAATTAGGTAATTAATATGCACAGATTTTCACCTAAAACTAATCAAAACCTGGCATTAGTTCAGATCATATATGAACCAAGTTTTATCAAAATTCAATGAATGGTTCTTTAGATATCAGTGGAACAGTCATGGAACAGCTAAAAATTAGCTAAGTATCATGCAAATTAGGTAAATAATATTCACGGATTTTTCCCAAAAACTAATAAAATCTGCGCATAAGTTCAGAGCATCTATGTACCAAGTTTCATCAAAATTCAATGAGTGGTTCTTTAGATATCAGTGGAACAGTCATGGAACAGCTAAAAATGAACTAATTATCATGCACATTAGGTAATTAATATGCAAGGTTTTCTACCAAAACCTAATCAAATCTGCGCATTATCCCAGAGCATCTATGCATCAAAAACCGATGTATGGTTCTTGAGATATCAGTGGAAACAGACGGACACACACACACCCACACACATACAGACACACTAACTGCAAATACTCTCATTGTGCGCTTCGCACACGGGAGTCAAAAAGGAGTTTGTTGATCGCCATCCAGCGACAACAAATATAAGGTAATTGACACTCCACTACAGAGACCAAAGTGAATTCTACAGCAGCGTTTGAGGAGGAGATTGCTGTTTTTTTAAATCTCAATATGTAAACTCAATTTTACTGCAAAATATAGGTTACTGAAAGCAGGTATTGCGATTGCATTCTTTAGTGAGATCGTCGGCAAGATCACTATGACTATGACTCTGAAGTGGTTGTTTCTGTTTCAGCTGTTTGTTGTAGACCCTGTAGTACAGAGCTATAGCAAGTAACGATGCCCACCTTAAAATTTTAATAACAAGTATGTTCATCCTAATTCGAATTGGTGGGTAAAGGCAACCATTTACTCACTCGTTGGCTAAATTGGTTTATGCATTTAGTAAGGATACTCGGGATATATGAAGATTAGGTCGAATAAAGATTGTGGCACAGGATGTATCTCAGACAATGTAGAGAAGCCACTTTCTAAGGAATCGATATTTGCAGTAGGTTTGGTGTCAGATTATAGAGTATATGTGTGACGTGTGGTATGTGTACATGTCGTTTGAAAACACAAAATACTGCCATTACAATCTCAATGAGCCATCCCATGCATATTTTACAAATGTTCACCCCAACAATGATAGCAATACAGTTTTAACGACCCGAATAGCTTATTGACAGCGAGCTATGAGGGTCACTAAAACTGTATGTCCACATTTGTTGGGGTAAACATTTGTAGAATATACAAAGGATTATTATACCGAATATCATTTAAAACATAATTTGTTGCACTCAATCATGGTTCCTCTCAGGGCATATGAACACATATTTTGAGAAACGAAACAGTGATTGAATTTTATTGAGTTTTATCATGGACGCTTTTTTACATGGCCTTGGTTTTATAAATCTAATTTCAGCAGCTTCAGCCTGACTAAGGGTCACCTTTTACAAACACAGCCGGCGTCGCTCTTTGTGCTCCCTTTTGTATAGATGTACGGCAAAAGCTACCCGAGCATGCAGCAGACGTTTTGAGTATGGGTTTATGTCATACCAATTGTAGTACAAGAACTAATTAAACTATAAATAATAATTAGAGATACTGTCAAAATACCCCAAACTCAAACACTGCAGTGCCATCCTGTGGCAAAGTCCACGACCCTCTAGACAGACGCTAGCCTGCCAGTGGAATCCAGCCCTTCAGAGCGTTATTCTTAATGGTCTGGTGTATCGCAACATATTTGTACGTAGTCGGCTCAGAATTCATCACTGATTAACTGTCTCCATGACTTCAGTACATTATCATTGGAACTCGCATGTGCAAACTGACTCGTAAGTAAGGCCCGCTCACAACCCCCAGACCGATGCACTAGTTTCATGAATGCAGAATGCACGAACACAGGTCGAGTGCTCTAAAGCGCTTATCCAAGCTCGCTGGCGAAACTTGCAGCAAGCGCGACTAATCGCTACAAAATCCTAGTTTTCTCTTCAATAAAATGGTCAACTTATTAAAACAAGCATGACAAACTAGTTATTTCATGTTGCCGCGTATCATGCCTCTTGACACGTTATTCACGTAAATCAGATGAATTCGGAAGGAATTCACACATATGTCAGCAGTCAGACACATGAATATGTCGATAACGACATAACTGTCAAATAATATGTGCACCCACACATTTTTTCGTGACTTTACTCTATTGTCAATGTCAAAGTCGTAAAACAATATCAATAATGTGTTACAAACGTTTTCATTCAGCAACGCACACATGTTGATGTTTGCTTGCACCTCGTACACATTCTACATTGAGTGCACATTTAATCAAGTGTTATACTCAAAGTAGAAATATCTTCACTTAAAGTTTACAATTTATTAAGTTAAATATTGGTAAATTATTAAATGACAGTGACAACCAAACTTTTTTTATCAGAAAAATATAGTAGTTCCCAGTTTTCGGAAATAGTTTTTAAGTAAAATTTTGCCTCAAATGATAAGAATGTTTAATACCAGTAGACACAAGCAAGGGACACGTTACTATACATTACTAGAAACGAGTAGATATAATATGCGTACCACTCACACACAATCAAATGAGTGTAGTTTAATATGCTTATTTATAAACTTATTTTTATTATTTACAGGCAGACTCGAATGAACGCAGTAGAGAAGATGACCCCAAATCAGAACACCACCTGAGCAAACGTCACGTCACATGTGATCTCAGCTGGTTGGCTGAGCACTGTAAGTTATATAGTTGTATTAACATGGAGTCAGCACACTTTTTTGACAGTCCATACAAAAATGAAATGTCTGAATGACTACGAACAATTCATTGGTACATCCCGGGAAGTGCATACAGTATAAAGTAAAAGTCGTGCTAATACTATAATAAAACCTCCCATATTCGACATTGTAAAAGTCTTTCGTTTCTATGGAGCAAAATACATATTTATTAAAGATATTTTTCTTACATGTATTGCTGAACGTGTAATCAGTAATAATGATAATTTTTTAATGAATTATTCGTAATATATTTCTGAATTTTCTTGACAGTATCATGATTTATATTTCGGCTTAATAGTGGTTGCCATGACATCTACTGATAAAGGTTAAATGATGAGGCCAGATGACGGGACTGGTTGAGATCAGTCGACACATTCTCATGAGTTTGCGATTTCAAGCTTATGCGGTACCTTGGTCGTAGTCCAGAACTAATGATGTGTATTGATGTCAACTGTGGAATGTTATTGCAAGACCATTAGCGCCCATAAATATAAACTGACGATGACACTACGATAGTGGTTTTCCTAATATAGTGACGATTAATCAATTGTATTATGATGTGTAACACTTTCGTGTGATTGGCTGTTTGTTTAGATGCAACGCCTCAAAGTCTCTTATACTCTATTGTAATTGGCTAATGGTTGACAAGTAATAAAAGTGATTTGAAGCTGTCTCGGGAAGGGAACGTCCAACGTGGGGAACAATCGAATCCCGGTTACCTAAGTGAAAGGTTTCGAAACATCAAAAATACCTATCACAACAGAATCAGTTGTTTCCAGGATTTTTTTCCAAAAAAACGATTTTGAAAAGATTTTAAAATCATATACATTTGCATATTTACTTATATTGGTGTCACGGTGGTATTCAACATAACTGAACAGAGCATAACTAGATTATGTTGTGTGTGTTTTTTTCTAGCAACAATTTTGCGAGGACCCCCTGGTCCACAAGGTCTCCCAGGAAACAATGGAATTCCTGGAATTCGTAAGTGGTGTATTATTATAACAGTCATGATTGTTTTACAATTCATTTTGCACGAATAAAATTTGTCAATCAAATACACGAACCAGCATTTATTCTTTTAAACCACCACTCTATCATATAATATAAATTAAATATAAATATATAACATTTTTGGAATAGCTGGAACACCAGGTACTTCACCTGGTATTGGGTGTCCCAATTCAAGAAACTTAGATATCGATACTGGTCCCGTAAGTGGTGACAGTTCAGCAAGCCACGTAAATGAAACGACTGGATCTGTGTATGTGAGATGGGGAAGATCGACATGTGAAGATACTGCTGAACTAGTTTATGAAGGTATGTATAATATAATTTTAATAATGTTCGGAAAACATGTGAATGTTTTTGAATGATTTTTCCATAAACTCGAAAACAACGCTTATTCAAACTTGTAATCGAATGTCAGATATTTGCTACAAACGTCGTGTTCTATGTATTCTCAATAATATGATTTAACCATAATTATTATACCCAAAATGAGTGAATAAATGTTTTTACAACATAAAGTTCATTCTGCCCACTAGGTGTCATTGGAGGAGCACATTACACTCATAAAGGTAGTGGTTCTAACTACCAATGTCTGCCATTGAATCCTATATATGACGACGTAGAAAGTGGTACAGGAGAGTGGAGGGCTTTGATGTATGGTACAGAGTATGAGGTGGACTCGTTCAGCCCTTTGTCAGCCTTGCACGATCATGATGCAGTATGTGCAGTGTGCAGAGTTCGTTCTCGTGGTACCGTCTTAATGGTTCCTGCTCGTAATGAATGCCCGTCAACTGAGTGGACCAGAGAGTATTATGGCTATTTGATGTCCGATTACTATGACCAAACAAACAAGGAATTTATCTGTGTAGACCGTAATCCTGAAGGAAGAGATGGTAGTAGCGCAGACCTCAATGGCGCGTTGTTGTATCCTGTAGAGGGTCGATGTGGATCACTCCCATGTGGTCCATATATTGATGGCAATGAATTGACATGTGCCGTGTGTACCATATGATATCAATGAGTGTACGGGTCACGTGTGTAGTTGTTGCTAATATTATTCTATGCAGCTAATGGAAGATTTATACATTTAATACTTATTGTATTCAGAAACTGGCAGACTATTCCATATAAGATTGTGTTTTCTGTGCACCTTATTACGTAGACATTATAGAATATATGGACAAAGATTATGTCACATGGCATCTTCATTGAAAAGCATTTGATACAATAGACCATGCTATTTTGCTTGGCAAACTTGAACATTATGGGGTTAGGGGTCACCCACTTCAGTTGTTTCAAAGTTATTTAGATAGTCGGTAGCAAACAGTCAATGTAAACTGCACTACGCAATCTCTAAGACAAATTAAGTGTGGGATTCCCCAAGGGTTCTCGGTCCATTGTTATTTCAAGTTTATATTAACAATATTAACACCTGTACTAACGTCTTCGATTTCCGTCTTTTTGCTGGTGATATTATTTTATTTATCTTCATAAAAACTAACAGAATTAATCAAGACAGTATTAAGTCAGAGTTTGATAAAGTTGTAGACTGGTGTAAAGCAAATAAGCTCACAATTAACGCCGAGAAAACTAACTACATGATAATACATCATGCTCAAAAACACGTCCAAGTTGATGGCTGTCTAGAAATCGACAACTCGCCGATAGAGGGCGTTTCCAATGTAACCTGTCTGGGGATCAACATTAATCTTTCAATGTCATGGAATTCACAATTAAAAAACCCGGCATAAAAGATATGCGTTTAAATCAAAATTAAAAGAGTTTCAAACCAATTTATTTATTGTAGTGGCTTGATGCTATATCTATTAAGTAAGGTGTCTTATAACATCAACCATCCTGGTATCCCTGGGTAGTGCTCATCGTCAATAAGGCTACAACCAATTGAACTTAAACAATGTGGATCTTTTATTCAATCCTAATCTATATAACTCATCACATCAATAATTCAACATACAATTGGCAACGGCCCATTAGCCCATTAACTGTAAGAAACAAATACAGGATTTTTAATATAATGTCATGTTCGTTGACGTTTACTAAACTAACTAAAGCAGACAACTTCACAATGTTGTCTCTAAATATATGGCAAATAACAAAATTCAATAAACATAACATGTTTCATGTAGAATAAATCACTAACCATATTAATCTACTTCGTATCTACCTCAGGGCCAGCATTAATGCTGTTCAATACGTTAACTCCCATATTATCTTTTGTCGATCATAGAAATGATAAAACTATCGTAAATTCATGTACAAAAATACGTGTCTCATTGATTAGTGTTGCGTAGTATCTAAAAATAGACCGAAAAAGTTTCAATACAAACATAAAATATTTCTAATCTTACCAAACTGATCGGCTAACCCGGGGAATACACTGATTCTTGGAACTCAATCGCTTCTATTTGTGTCACTTTAACGCTGAGATTCCATCTATTTGTGTCAAAAATACATAAACTTTCAACAGCGTTATCTTCTCAATTATAACTCTTCAAATCTAAGATGGCCGATAAAAACGAAAGTATTGCCACTAGATGGCGCAAGTCACAGAACTGCTTTTACAATACGTTTACGTGAGACTTGGATAAAGCATATGATCATCTCGCATTTGGCCACTACATTTACACATGTCAAATTAATAAAACATATGTCGTAATGAGTATGTTGGACAACTGACACATGTCAGATTAAATGAGCGTGTGTCGTAATGAGTACGATGGACAACTGACACATGTCAGATTAATAGAGCATGTGTCATAATGAGTACTATAAACAACTGACACATGTCGGATTAATAGAGCATGTGTTGTAATGAGTACGATGAACAGCTTACACATGTCAGATTAATGTAGCTTGTGTCGTAATGAGTACGATAAACAACTAACACATGTCAGATTAATAGAGCATGTGCTATAATGAGTGCGATGAACAACTGACACATGTCAGATTAATGGAGCATGTGTCGTAATGAGTATGATGAACAACTGGCACATGTCAGATTAATAGAGCATGTGTCGTAATGAGTATGATGAACAACTGACACATGTCAGATTAATAGAGCTTATGTCGTAATGAGTACGATGAACAATTCACACATGTCAGATTAATAGAGCATGTGTCGTAATGAGTATGATGAACAACTGACACATGTCAGATTAATATAGCATGTGTCGTAATGAGTATGATGAACAACTGACACATGTCAGATTAATGGAGCATGTGTCGTAATGAGTATGATGAACAACTGACACATGTCAGATTAATAGAGCATGTGTCGTAATGAGTATGATGAACAACTGGCACATGTCGGATTAATAGAGCATGTGTCGTAATGAGTATGATGAACAACTGACACATGTCAGATTAATAGAGCTTATGTCGTAATGAGTACGATGAACAATTCACACATGTCAGATTAATATAGCATGTGTCGTAATGAGTATGATGAACACCTGACACATGTCAGATTAATATAGCTTGTGTTGTAATGAGTACGATAAACGACTAACACATGTCAGATTAATAGAGCATGTGTCGTAATGAGTGCGATGAACAACTGACATGTCAGATTAATGGAGCATGTGTCATAATGAGTATGATGAACAACTGACACATGTCAGATTAATAGAGCTTATATCGTAATGAGTACGATGAACAATTCACACATGTCAGATTAATATAGCATGTGTCGTAATGAGTATGATGAACAACTGGCACATGTCAGATTAATAGAGCATGTGTCGTAATGAGTATGATGAACAACTGACACATGTCAGATTAATAGAGCTTATGTCGTAATGAGTACGATGAACAACTGACACATGTCAGATTAATATAGCTTGTGTCGTAATGAGTACGATAAACAACTAACACATGTCAGATTAATAGAGCATGTGTCGTAATAAGTGCGATGAACAACTGACATGTCAGATTAATGGAGCATGTGTCATAATGAGTATGATGAACAACTGGCACATGTCAGATTAATAGAGCATGTGTCGTAATGATTATGATGAACAACTGACACATGTCAAATTAATAGTTAAATGTTAGTATTAATTTGTTAAATATTGACGATTGCCGCTGTAGGCGACAGTAACTGTTTTTCCCAAGAAACTCATTCGGAAATCCAATGGCTCAGGCGTTAGATGCTTTAGATGTTGTGAAGTTGCATTTAATCGTTCGTCCATGGGCATCACTGAATGTTCTTATGTTTGGGAAGAAGTCCGGGATCTACGTCATCCAGCATGTCAGTACATGCATAATACACTGTAGGTAAAACAAGCGGAAAGAATTTATTTTTGTTAAAATGAGCTATTATTCGAATGCTATTGAAAATAAGAAATATGATATGTAATATACAGACTGCAAACAATAAAAGTACATGGTTTAGTGACAACCTCTTATTTTTTTAAATATTAGAACTTCTTTTGTTTGGGAAGGTTCTTCTATAAAAATAGAACAGATATACATATGTATATATATATATATTGTCGTTACTTGGATATATATATATATATATATTACTTTTACTCTAATAAATAAATAAATAAATAAATAAATAAATAAATAAATAAATAAATAAATAAATAAATAAATAAATAAATAAATAAATAAAAAAAAAAGAACTGCAGACCTCACATCTTTATATTTTTGAGTGGGCCAGCCATGTTTCCACATACAAAAATACACATAATATTTCTACTCTGGATTATATGGACAAAATAAAGATCCTAGAAAGTTAGTATTTGTATGCCTGTGTGTTGTCAATACTACTAAGAATAATGTACTCCATTTTCATTAAAATACTCATATATATGTTTAATATTTCACTGCACCAACGAGTGCATACAATATAAACTTCGTAAATTAACATATAATTAAAATAAAAACGTATATAATAAGGCTTCTGATCCGGTATACATATATTATCGACCTTTTTGACCCCGATTTTTATTTTTAATAAAACATTTCCTGTGACATTAGTGTCAATGATTATCACATGTCAAACCATTATTCATCAATATTGTGTTCAATTCTTTTTAGGGAATTGGAATTATCAATAGACCCAAACACCAAAATTCAAATGGGTTTGTAAATCGAAGGAGTCATTTGCCACTAAATATCTCGTGAATTGTATTAAGGTCAACCATACTCCATACTGGAGTAAATACTGCGGCTTCTCGGCAATTCTAAGCCAGAAACTCCTCGGTGCCACGGGTTCCTTATTGGGCCAAGAAATATCAACCGTATCTCACCGTACCTAACCTCATCACCTTTCTTTCTGGTGGACTGGAGTGAATATCTCTCGTTGATATAACCTGCAATTCTCCGTGTTACTTATATTCTGCCCCAAATGTTCAATGCTTGCATAATATAAATTAATCTATCGTCATATTCATTCTCAAATAATCTGACATGTGTTTTCGTACTCATTACAACATATGCTATAACAATCTGACATGTGTCAATTGTTCATCATAATCATGACGACATATTCTTTAATTATCTAACATCCATCAGTTGCACAACGTGCTCATTACGACACATGCTATAACAATCTGACATGTGACAATTGTCCGCCGTACTCATTACGACACAAGCTCTATTAATCTGAACTGAGATGTGTCAGTTGTTCCTCATACTAATTACAACACATGCTATAGCCATCTGACACATGTGATTTGTTCATCATGCTCATTACGACATATGCTCTAATAATCTGATATGTGTCAATTGTTCACCAAACTCATTACGACATAGGCTTCAAAGACCATTCTTAAGTGCATTGGGAATAACGCTCTGAAGGGCTGGATCCAAGGCTAGCGTAATTCGTTTGTCTAGAGTGCCTAGAGTGGATTATACCGCGGGTCATTAGATGCTTTCCTGTGCACACCCAGAACTCTTTTACAAAAATTAATGTGAAGTTTTTCTGCAATTAATTTATCTGAGAAAAGTTTTGTTTCAAAATTGCAATTGTCGACTGTACAT